CCAGACGGCGGTGGCAGCCGACAACCAGACGGCGGTGGCAGCCGACAGATCTGCTTGAGTGATTTTTTTAAATAAAAATCCAAGTGATAACTTGACCTTATGACTGAAGTTCTTAATTGGACCCCCTGCCTTCAGTTTCCTGCAAGCCCCCCTCTCCTCTTCAAGTTTGAGTATTCAACCTACCTTGCTAACTGTCCCTATTGTAATTCAAATAACCTGTTATATGACCAGTACATGAGATTGGATAAAGGCTGAAACGGACATCAGAACAAGAGAATGTTCCAAGCACTTCATTACCTGTCCCTGCAACATCAGACCTTTTTTGCAGGGATATATTAAGTTCTTTCTTAAGTCTTTAAAGAACGAGATCGTGGATACAAGCGGCCGAAATGAGTTTCCTCCGCAGGGTGGCTGGGCTCTCCCTTAGAGATGGGGTGAGAAGCTCGGCCATCCGGGAGGGGCTCGGAGTAGAGCCGCTGCTCCTCCACGTGGAGAGGAGCCAGTTGAGGCGGCTCGGGCATCTGATCAGGATGCCTCCTGGTCGCCTCCCTGGGGAGGTGTTCCGGGCTCGTCCCACCGGGAGAAGGCCCAGAGGAAGACCCAGGACCCGCTGGAGGGACTATGTGTCCCGGCTGGTCTGGGAACGCCTCGGGATCCCCCCGGAGGAGCTGGCGGAAGTGGCCGGGGAGAGGGAAGTCTGGGTCTCCCTGCTCCGGCTGCTGCCCCCGCGACCCGACCCCGGATAAGCGGAGGAGGATGGATATTTTAAGTCCTATCTAAAACTTTTATTTTTGCAAACTTATTAAACCATATATGGGTCATATAGTTCCAGACCTGAGAAAAGGTCATAACCATGCTTTTACAGCAAGCCAGAGCCTGTTTATATTGTCCAATCGCCAACACTCATATTTCAAAGCTCACTATGTGAAAGATTTTTATTTTGTCTTGTCTTGCCATTTCATGTCCTTTAAGATTTAAACTTGGAAAATGACAACCAGTATGACTTTGGTATTGGAGTAACATTTGTCACAAGGAAAAGTCCTAGTCTCTTCATCTCACAATGCTGTCATGTTTTCTACCTTTATTGCATTTTCCTGCATAAACCTGTTACGACGTTCATATGTAAGTCGCAGAAACTTTGGTCGACTCTCTTTCGAGCCTGTGTATGCCTTGTACAACACATTGCGTTTGTTGCAGCCATGTCAAGCCAAAGCGCCAAGCTTGAAATCTCAATAACTGAGTCGATCTGTTGGGCCTATTTATCCTGGGAGCTAGACTTCACACCCACAACCTTTACATTTCCCCCCTCTGCCAGATTGGTTTTGCACTAGAAATCGTGAGCGCTGCTGCGGCAGCGGATGAGGTTTGTTTTTTTGCCCTCTATTAAACACTCGGCCACAATAACCACTTGTATCTAATCTATAACGTTTTATAGAATGATCAGCTCCAGAATAAATATATTGCCCTACGGATATGGATATTGCAACACTTCAGGTTCTTCAAACTATGGTGATTTGTGGAAGCGATGTTCAAATAGGAGGAGACTTTAACTGCATCCTTGAAAAGGAAGACAAAACCCCAACACCAAACTCCACAGTGAACCTTGGTAGGAGCCCGCATGTTTTTAAAGAATTGTTAGATGATTGCGACTTAACCAACCCTTCTAGATGGTTGATCCCTAATTTGAGAGACTATACCTGGTCCAATGGCACATCCTTTTTCCTTACTGATTATCTATTAATGTTTAGGAAAGTCACACCTGTGTCTTCTGTATTGAGCCCTGTTCCTTTTTCATGTTTCTATTTTTTTTAAATGCATGTATTCCCCAGCACAAGCAAGGGAAGCAAACAGTCAGAAGTGGGATTTGAACCCACATGTCCAGGAGAGACTTAACAAAGAGCCTTGGACTGCTAATTAGTTTAGTGACTTCATCTGTCCAAATTGTCAACTACAAGGTGAATTAGCTCAAATGTTAGAGTGCTCACTTAGCATGTGAGAGGTAGTGGGGTTGATGCCCACGTTCTCCATCGAAACTGTTTTTTTTTTTAAAGACCAACATTTAATTGTTACCTTTTTTCTACCTTCAGTGGTATCTTCGATCATCTGCATCGGTTTGCTTGTGCATGTGAGGAGTCTAATATTCAGCCAAATGGTCACATTTAACCCTGACTGTGTCATAAAAACTCAGCTTGGATGTGTCAGGATGGCTGAGCGGTCCAAGGCGCTCATTCCCAGCTGCCGCAGAATCGTCCGGGGAAATGTTGAACAATATTGGAATGATGGGCCAATCGCTGGCCTCCCTTTCCAACATTCTCCACCAATCGTTCTCGATTTCTCAACATTCTCCGCCAATCAATCTCCCTCCCGTTCAAAAATGTCAAACTTTTGACCTGTCAAGTGGGGTGGGTCTTGAAGGGAGGACTCAGGTGCGGAGATGACGGAAGACAAGGTTTATTGTACAAAAAGGTGAAAATCCAAACATGGTACAAAATCAAGGCTGTGGAAAACTGTGAGCAAAGTAACAAATCAATAAGCAAAACAAGACTGAGGCAAAACCATGACAAAGTAACAAAATAAAGATTAACAGAACTGTGACAAAGCTGTGGCAAAACTGTGACAAAAAGCAAACCTGGCGTGGGGGTGACAAAAGACGAAACGGACAAGAACGCACTCGCACAAGACAAGGGGAAACGAGGACTATTTAAACACATGAGGGAGGGGAACCCCAGGTGTACACAATAGGTAATCAAGACATGACGAGACACCAGACGTGACATGACCAATCAGCTGCGATCTTGAGGAGTTACGGGTCAATTACTAGTCAAATAAAAGAGCCACAGATGCTAGCCGAATAATATCGCGATGACAACATGACACACGAAGAAAAGTTGTTTTCACACATTAGCGGACGTCATATAACACTGCCGTTAATGTCTGAATACTCACAATTTTAAGGAATTAAACAATGAAACGTATGAAACTGCAGACAATTTCTAAGCATGGTTAAAATCGCAGCTGATTGGTCAAAAGTTTGACATTTTGGAAGGGGAGGGAGATTGATTGGCGGAGAATGTCGAGGAATCAAGAACGATTGGCGGAGAATGTTGGAGAATGTTCGAAAGGGAGGCCAGCGATTGGCCCATCATT